CCATGTCACATGCTAGTAAACAGGTTCTCTTGTTAGGTGTGGGGGAGGCGCTGGCCTCTTGATGAAAGAAATTTGGATCCACTTAACCCATTTAAGATGGAAGCTGATGAAGGTTACAGATTCTTCTTCTGCACTCTGTATGGCCTTTCCAGTCATAAGACCCAGTCCATGCATCACTAATGCTTCTAATAGCTATATTAGTCATACATCTGTTGTTTCTACATCACTCTTTTCCAAGAAACCACATACTGAAAAGAGATAAGCACGTAAGAATTGCCTCATTGCTGGCTTCTTTGACCCCAGCTACAACCTTTTTGGAGGGAAATTTTCACATACTGAAAATAAGAGATAAGCACGTAAGACTTGCCTCATTGCTGGCTTCTTTGACCCTAGCTACAACCTTTTTGGAGGGAAATTCAAACCCATATCCATTGTGTTACTGATCACAAAATCCTGCTAACTCCAGAAATTCTGTTTTTAAACTACTGGAGAGACATCACCCTTTTGAAACTAGACAAAGAAAGACCTAAAAGCTACTCTTCTACTTCTGGCCAAATTAGCAATAGCTCATGCTTGGAATTCTTCAGGTCCCACCCTTTTTCTTTAGCACCGCAAAATCTGAGAACAATTTATAGAGGAAAGAATCACTGCCTGGGTTTGTTACTCCCACAACATCTCCTTATACAAAGTGAAGACTTTGAAAGGAAGTGGTTCCCCACCCAGAACGAAATTGTTCCTAGGGCTTTAAAACCCCTCAATCTGTTGCTGTTTTGATCCATTAATGTTCTTGCTTTAGGCTTGACCCTGGTGGCCCCAAAGATTTTACTTTGCATTGACCTATTTCCCCTTCTGATCTTGGTTAATATAATTTGATATTTTTTTTAGTTTTTAACTTATAAAATGTATATTTCCAGATTCTTTGTAGCTGTGATATTGGTCCAATCTACAGTGGTCTTTCCTGCCGCTGTGCCGGCGGTCCCAAATTGTCTAAAAAATCTCTGCCTGCATTGCTTGCCGCAGCCATTCCCGTATTGTATCAGCTCAGCATTGGCTGTCTGCATCATTTTATTGCCCGAGGTCACTATGGCATCTTACCTGCTTATGTGGATCTGGTTTTCAGCCGGAGCAATTGCTCCTCCCCACCCCTGAGCCACTGTGAGAAATAAGCAGACAACTGGAGCCAAATCCTCCCCCCCCCCCAAAGTTTTTTTCTGATAATG